AGACATACTGTTGGATGATTATGATTTAAGGTTCAACCCTCACTAGCTTTAGATCTGTAATGCCGAAGAACTCAGGCTCACAGGGCTGTTCTTCGTAAATTCTATGCTGTTGTCAAGTGGAAGTTTCTCTTTGCATATCTTAGCCCTTGCTTCTGCCCTTTTGCCTTATTTATTTAATTCTAATGCCTATAAAACTTGTGGAGGGGCTTTGCCAGTATTACTGAAAAATAGCTGCAAACTAATAGGCATTTACTGCAAAAGGTTACATTAATACACCAATATATGCCCATGGTATTTTGAATACCCTCTAGCCATAGTTATACTTAGGAAAGGAAAATAGCAAGTTGAACTAGGCTACTCAGAATCAAATAATTTTAGTACCTGTTTTTAAAATTAAGAAAATAATGGTGGATTGTTAGAAGCACAACTCAGGGTTATTTTTTTTTTCCTTATGATATTAAATATTCTCCATGAGAGGAGGGGGAAGGCAACCATTTCTTTCAGTCACAGAGAATTTTATAAAAGAAATACCAATCAAGAAATCACAAAACTAGGATCTCCATAAAATGGTGCAGGTTTTGTCTAACAGCAAGCCTGTTATCTGAACATAAAACAGCCATTGGAAGCAGAGGAGAATCTGCTCGATTTAAAGATTCAATGCATAGTGTTAGGCTGAGGCCGCATGGGTTAGGTGGTCAGATACTGGAGTGAAGGAGGGTGCGTAAGTTCCTTGGTAGGCAGAATGCATGTGTCCCAGTGAGGCTGGGGGAGTGCCATTAACACAGGCCTTGAAAACCTGAGCTCTGATGTGTGTCTGAGTCACGATTCCCTCAGATGGTGCAGCTTCTCACCTGGCTGTGGCTCTTTTTCCATGTGCTCCTCACATTGGACCCGCAACCGGTCCCTTGGGTCTACCTCATGCCATGTCCCCCATCTGCTCCCTATTAGCTCTGGGAGGGCAGAGAATAGCCACAGTACAGTGTTAATTATCCCATGTTTTAATATTCTTTCTTCCATAGCACATATAGCTAAGATATTTGCTAGTAACTGGTGGGTGCCACGGTGGCACACAGCCAAACACGCGCATGTGACCTCAATACTGGTGCACAAGACAAAACTCTGCTCACGGATGGAAAATCTTAGAGGGGACATTGGTCCTAAGCCCTGAGCCTCTGACTGGGTGAGGCTGATTAATCACCTGTGAAGCTCTGCTTCTGCACAGCTTAGAGCAGAAGGGCCTCCGAGGGCCAGATGCGAGCCAAGCGGGTTGACCCAGTCTGTGGAGACCCTGATGCTTTCCCACCCCCAGACCAATTAGGGCCTGGGAGTGGGGGGAAGCGCACCAAGTTTCCTCCGCCCTGCCAGGAGCACGTAACACTTTGAAGAGCCGCACGCTCCTGGCAGGGCAGGAGGAGACTTCAAACGCTCTCCCAACCACACGCCCTGATTGGCGTAGGGGCAGGAGGAGCATGCGAAGTTTCCTCAGCCCTAACCCCACGCGCAGGCCAATCAGAGCTTTGGGGCAAGGGAGCACAAGAAGCTTCCTTCACCTTGCCCCCACCCTGCAGGGGGTAGGGTAGAGGAAACTTCACGCACTCCTCCCGCCCCCAGGCCAATCAGGCCTGCCCTGCCAGGAGTATATGGTACTTCAAAGTGCTATGTGCTCCTGGCAGGGTGGAGGAAACTTCATGCACTTCCCATGCCTCCAGGCCCTAATTGGCCTGGGGGTGAAGAAGCAGTCAAAGCCTCTTCCCACCCTGCCATGAGCATGAGTGCTTAGTGGGAGGGGGGCAAAGGGGCTCCCCAACCCCCAGATTAATCATGGTCTCTGGGTTTGGGGGAAGCCCGGAAGCATCCTGGCCCCGCTCCTTTTGTTTCTGCCAGGAGTATATGGTACTTCAAAGTGCTATGTGCTCCTGGCAGGGTGGAGGAAACTTCATGCACTTCCCATGCCTCCAGGCCCTAATTGGCCTGGGGGTGAAGAAGCAGTCAAAGCCTCTTCCCACCCTGCCATGAGCATGAGTGCTTAGTGGGAGGGGGGCAAAGGGGCTCCCCAACCCCCAGATTAATCATGGTCTCTGGGTTTGGGGGAAGCCCGGAAGCATCCTGGCCCCGCTCCTTTTGTTTCAGGCCCCACCCCTTCCAGGGTGGCCCGGGGCCACTCCAGGTCAGAATCCTCTCTGACACCCATACCCCCTTCTGGACCCTGCACTCCAGGCCCCTGCCCTACATCACAGCAACCTCCTTCATCCAAACTAGGATGGGACAAGAAGCAATGGGCTTAAATTGCATCAAGGGAGGTTTAGGTTGGACATCAGGAAAAACTTCCTAACTGTCAGAGTGGTCAAACACTGGAATAAATTGCCTAGGGAGACTGTGGAATCTCCATCACTGGAGATATTTAAGATCAGGTTAGACAGACACCTGTCAGGGATGATCTAAGTGGTTCTTGGTCCTGTCATGAGGGCAGGGGACTGCACTCGATGATGTCTCAAGGTCCCTTCCAGTTCTAGTGTTCTATGATTTTATGAAACTCCCTCCCAGATCTCATACCCCCTTCTGCGACCCATACCCTTACTCCAAGCTCCTTTCTGCACCCGCCTCTATCCCAGACCATGCACCTCCTCCATTAATATCATAGAAGAGTTCAGCCCTTGACCACTTTCTAAATTCTTGGAGTGGCTCTGCCTCCACCCCATTAAAAATTGTTGCCCACCTCTGGTCTCGATTGTCTGTCCTAACACAACTTTGGCCCTTGACCAGGAAGCAAATCCTCAGCTGTTTCAAACTCACCTTTATAGAACTATTACCTTGTAAGAGCAGATAGCTTACTTTACCCTTTATAAGCTGAGCACTTTTCAGTTTTAAAACTGGGAAGACTAGTTACAACACTCTTTTTGCACCTGTTACTATGCTGTGTATTTATTATTAATTATTGTTGTTGTTGTTGTTTGTTGTTATGTTAGGATAGAAATAACAATCCAACAACCAGAGATAAAGGTCCCATTATGCAAGGCACTCCACGATACAATAAAGTGAATCTGTCTTCCAAATAGCTTTCAGTCGTGGTAATCTATATATTAAATATTTGTTCATACAGATCTCAGATCTGGAATGGATTTTTTAAAGATAACACCTTTATTTATATCTAACACTGTGCCTATTATGTATATAATGAGATCACTTCAAAAATGTTTGTTTTTTCCTTGAAAACATAATTCTTATTTTTCAGCACATGTGCAGAGTCTATATTAAACCATAGTACACAACAGTACATATGTCCATGTAAGGTTGTAAAACAAATTCCACTTTATGACATATGTTGTGTTTGATGACAAGTAATTTAATGATATAAAGAGACCATACTTTAACGACTACATAAGTAGGAAGAGATAAAGTCAGTAATATGTATTTAACTCCGCACTATTGATTTCTGAACCTTAATGTTGCATTTATTATTATTATTTATACACACATATATAAGAAATATATTAACATGGCAGAGGAGGGTTACAAAAACATTTGGACTCCCTCTGGAGCTAGCACATATAGATTATTAAAACATAACCTTTATTAGAGGATAAAGTAAAAGATTGTTCTAAGGCTCAACTATTTCAATTTTGCAAAACTCCAACTTTCTTCAATGAAAGTAAACGAAAGGACTTACAAGAACTTTCCATGGTGTTGGAATTTAAGTTTTGCATTTTTATAGCACTACATAATATAATTTATGCCCTACATAATATTTTATAGTGAAATAAAAAACAAATCAGCTCACAAAACTTGGATGGAAACAGTATCAACATCTCTCAACAAAAGTGGTTTCATCCTTTAATGTAAACCAAAAAAATACTCAGCTAGAAACCCATGTTCATTCAAAAAACTGCTTTGTAATTTTTAAAAATTATTTACAGATTATCCTGTATTTATTTTTGCTTTTATATTATATAACCAACTTGCTTTTAAAAAAGTCTATAATGAGAGTACCTCTCATTTTTACACTGTCACATACAACAGGCATGCTGCAACATGCTGAAGGACAGTTTTAATCAACTTCTTGTACTAAAACATTTCAGAGTTTCCAATGTAGGTTGTTGCTTTTCATCTGCATCCAGGAAATATTTATGTACATTCAACATTCCCAAATCATCCAGCTAACCCTTGATCAGATTGATGTGGGGATCATTCAGTTATCAGGAAAACAAACAACATTAACACTAAGTGCATTCTAGACAGACACGTCTGCTGAGGGTTGAAATGAGAGGATACAGTAATACTTCACTTGCAGAGGTCTATCCCATGACCCACAAAGAAAAATCCTAGAGGAAGGAAGACTGATATTACTAGTTCTCTGCCCTACATGTAAATATTAAGTGTTTAGCCTAAACAATGCAGAAGGCAAAGTCTAGCATTGATTCTTTTTTGATTCTTTTAGTTTTAGTGAAATTCTTGTGGAGACTACTCACAGATAATCACTGGAATCACTTAAAAGAAATCCAACTATGAATACTGGAACTTTTAAAACTTCTGTGAGTTGACAACCTTGTATGTAAACTAAACATATGTACATTTATAAAGCATGCATAAAATAAAATTGCAAGAACAAACATTCTTGTAGTGTTGGTCACAAACTTTAAAGATAAAGCAATATTTTTATTACCCTGATATAACAATAACGTTAGCCTCTGGAGGCCTTGATCAGAGTACAGTACAGTGAGTCAGGATCTTTCCTCCTCGCCCACCACCCGTCCCCCACTTATTAATTTTTAAGAACCAGGAACAGAAAGAAAAATTCCTGTGATTAAATGAATCTTGATGAAACTACAATCAAGGAATTTGCCACTTCAAAGGAGCTAATATAATCACAGTGTGTCCTGATTATATGTACTTAGCAGTGCAAAATAGGTTGCTGACCAATTATGCACTCTTTTAACTATTAACAGTGGTATCTTTGTTCTCAAACAATGTTACAATGCACATGTCCTGGGACTCATATTTACCTGGTGGATTCTTGGCAGGATCATTGTGGCTTGGACTTCCTGATTGTCCAGAATCTACAAAAAAAAATCAAAGAAATCTTTTAATAATTTGTTTTGAAAATCTCACAACCCTTAGGAGACTTCTTCAAAAAACAAAGTATTAATTTGATTATAAGGCCATTTCCCTGCCTTTCTACATGAAGGCATTTCCACAGAAACATACAGCATAACAACACAGCTCATACAGTATGGCTACGTCTAGATTGGCAAGATTTTGAGCAAATACTCTTTAACACAAGAGTTTTTGCGTTAGAGTATTGAATAAGAGAGCGTCTACACTGGCATTTGCCTTTTCGCAAAAGATGTGCTTTTGCACAAGAGCATCCATGCCAGTGTAGACGCTCTCTTGCGCAAGAAAGCTCTGATGGCCATTTTGAACATCGGGCTTTCTTGTGCAAGAAATTGATGTTGCCTGTCTACACTGGCCTCTTGCGCAAGAACAGTTGCACAAGAGGGCTTATCCCTGAGCGGGAGCGTCAGAGTATTTGCGCAAGAAGCACTGATTTTATACATTAGAACATCAGTGTTCTTGAGCAATTACTTGCAGCCAGTGTAAACAGGTGGCAAGATTTTGCGCAAAAGCAACTGCTTTTGCGCAAAATCTTGCCAATGTAGACGTTGCCTATGAGAAAACCAACATTAATGAGAGATCACTGCAGTAGTAACAAGCAAAACAAAAAATAAAAAAAAGGAAAAGAACCAGAAGTGAAAGCCTTAATATTATTTTCAGTAGCCATCTAAAGAGATGGATGATGAACCAAAACTGAAGAACAGGCAAATATTCAGGGTATACACATAAACACGGGATAAGGAAGGAATCCCATATGTGCAATCCTGCTGGGTTGGTTTGGATAGTAGGTTTTACACCTTCCTCTGAAACATTTGGTATTGCCACTGTTTCATTAGCATTTCAGGATATATTACATTATTGGTAGATGAGAAAACACTTGTATTCTTTCATTAGGTGCTATGTGCTCATGGCAGGGTGGAGGAAACTTCATGCACTTCCCATGCCTCCAGGCCCTAATTGGCCTGGGGGTGAAGAAGCAGTCAAAGCCTCTTCCCACCCTGCCATGAGCATGAGTGCTTAGTGGGATAAAAAAAAGGAAAAGAACCAGAAGTGAAAGCCTTAATATTATTTTCAGTAGCCATCTAAAGAGATGGATGATGAACCAAAACTGAAGAACAGGCAAATATTCAGGGTATACACATAAACACGGGATAAGGAAGGAATCCCATATGTGCAATCCTGCTGGGTTGGTTTGGATAGTAGGTTTTACACCTTCCTCTGAAACATTTGGTATTGCCACTGTTTCATTAGCATTTCAGGATATATTACATTATTGGTAGATGAGAAAACACTTGTATTCTTTCATTAGCTTGACGCTTTGCCTTCTTTAATCTTGAACTAAAGATAAGAAAGAGTGCTTTAGTGTAGAGGAACGAAGTGATTTGAATATTGTTACTGTAGAAAAGCCACTGCTTCTTCAATAAAGCTAAAATCTACTATATGTTTGGGAGAGTTTGCCTCTCGTCTGTCCATCTGTCGGTTTGTGTTTGATTACTTGTTCAAGAACACTTCCTCCTAAATGGTAGGAGTTAGCACCACCAAATTCGGTATACAGCTTTTTCTTATCCTAACTTAAAGCAAGGTAAGGATTTGGTTACGCTAGGAAAATGGAATGTGCCTGGGATTGCTTCTCATAAAACCACACAGAAAAGTGACAGAATCACCAGGCAGGTGAAAGTAGCTGGCTGAAGGTGCCTCCTCTCTCCCCCCGCCAGCTCTGAGACCTTTAGAAAAGTTGGGGCTACTGAAGCGCCCCCACCTCTAATTCATACTAGGACATTGTTAGCTGTTCCCCTACATCAGGCAGCAACGGAAAAGTGCACAGTTTGCTATATTCCTCTCTCTGACTGTGGAGCGCACAGGGCAGACGAACCTAGACCTGCCGCAGACAGAGGACATGCACCCTTCCTCCGGCCGTGCCTGCTGGAGCTGCAGTGGCCATGCAGAGGCACTTCTCACCTGGTCATCATCTGCTAAGGTGAGAGAGGCCTGGAGTAGTCCTCTCTCCCTGGGGCAGCCTGCACACTGAACCTCTCATCCCCAGCCCCATCCCAGAGCAATGATTCAAATGAAGCCTGTACATTTCCATTTTATTCTCCAGAAAACAAAAGTTAATTGAGTTAGGGACCCAAGTAATGCCAGGTAAATCTAGAAATATGGTCTTGTTCTTTATAAGTAACAAGAAGCACTTTTTGTGTGTTGTATTCATGTCTATAGCTCTTCATGTTCGGAAGATTTTCTGAACTCTCTAAAATCTTTTTTAGATGTTGCTTTAAATGTAGTTATTTGCATTTTATGCAGGTACTTTATGTTTGCATGTCACTGTTTGGTAAGATATTTTGTAATCATTTTGGAAAATATAAAATGATGATACGTAAGCTAAAAATCAGCTTAGTTTTAATAAAATGCCAGGTAAATTCTGCAAAGGGCCAGATTATGAAGGACTTGCTCTTACCGTGCAACTAAATGTTAATGAATATAAGGGGTTATTTAACATTATACATATAGCGTTCTAATACATTTCTGTGAATGTGGTCTCTGATTTTTTTAAACTGAAACTAGCATAGAGATTAATGGGTTTACATAACAGAGGTCAGAGGATATAGTCACTGCAGTTGTGTGGCTAAATAAGGTTAATTGGGTGGCAGATCCATATAAATACAAAATTCAGTGGGGGTAACAGGGAGTCCAGGTAGACTTTATACTGGTAGATTCTCAGGTAGATTTTATATCCATTTTTCACCTCACGCCCAACTAGAAAATAGCTTTTCAAGTCTCACACTGATCTCATTCACTACAATGCACACTGAATGAAATGTCTTTAGTTCTTGCAGAGCATTTCCTGCCAATGTGGCAACCTTAAGGTTTTTAAACTTTATTATATTATTTATTTTTAAAAGTCCAATATTAAAGCAAGATTACTATGGAATTTTCCATAATTGCAAATTGAAGTGGTTGACCAAGCCATTAAAATTTATAAAATGTGATTTGGCTTTTTTTTTCTGCTAATTATCTACTGCAAAATCATGGTTTCTTTTTACAAATGGATTCATTCATCATATTTTGACCAATTGATTCTATTAGCATATTTGTGACTATGGGTTGCATAGAGTGAGTGCAAGTATTTAATATTCTGAATTTTGTGCCTCATAGTCCCAGTGCCTTTCATCTTTGCTTCAGTGAGTTTTGGATCAGGTCCTTATTACTGTGCAAAGTGCTATCCTTCTGATTTGCACAGGTGTGTAAAAGTGTACAAAGTATAATGGAATCATGCCCAGGATATGGTTTTTGGCTCCTAACTAAATAATTTAACCATTATTAACAGAAATTGTTTCCAAAAAGAGTCACTGAAGCATTACTTTTCTAAAGGAGGATTGAGGACTTTAGAGACAGCCACAGAAAGTAAGCAAGCATAGTAAATGTAAAATTTTATATAAAATCTTTTCTTGTTCTTTTTTGCACAAGAGATTCTACTTGGCTAAGTTCACGAACTCTAGATTTAAAAATATTAAGGTTTCCTTCACAACTGAGGGAGAAAACAGAAGCAAGATTTATTGCCCGTCTAGCTGATTTAAATTCAATTTTGTCTTGTCACATTCTCACCCAAATAATTCTGTACATGAATATATTGCTTTCCAGGATACCATCTACTATATATTTGAGAGTTTGTCTGTTTTGTTTCTCTGTTTCTTCAAGAACCCTTCCTAAATGGTAAGCGCTAGGACCACCAAATTCAGGATACAGCTTCCTCCTATCATAACTTAAAGCATGTAAGAGTTTGGTTGTGCCAGGAAAATGGGATGTGCCTGTAATGGGATTACTTCTCATAACACCATACAGAAAAGATACAGACTCATCAGGCAAGTGAAAGAGGCTGGCTGGGGGCCCCCCCCCCCCCAGTCCAGGAGTGACCTAGCCCTGAGCTCCTCAGGTACCCTTTAGGGAATGTGGGGGGGGCTGCTTCAGTGCCTCCCCCCTCTAGCCCCCATTCATACGGGAACACTTCTGGATGTTCCCCTTTGTCAGGCAGTGAGGGGAAAGCATGAGTTTGCTAATTCTTCACTCTAGCTGGGGGTACATAGGGCAGACAAACCTGGACCTGTCAAATGGGGGGGGCCTGCACCCTTCCCCCGGCTGTGTCTGCTGGAGCTGCAGTGGCCATGCAGAGGCATGTCTCACCTGGCCACAACCTGCTGCGGTGAGAGAGGGCTGGGGTAGTCCTGGGGCAGTAAGGCACACACTGAACTCCTCATCTCCCACCGCAGAACAATTATTTAAATGAAGCACATACACTTTCATTTTATTTTTAAAAAATTAATTGAGTTAGGGACCAGAGCAACGCTGGGTAAATCTTCTCGTATTATATAAATGATTTTTATCAATCAGCTTGAAGCAAATACACACATTCATGCATAAGTATGCTTATTCAGATAGATAAAAGGTCCTGCATGTGTACTCTATGGATTTGAATTTTTTAATGTTTTCCTTTAGGCTGCTTCTTACTAATTTAACCAATGTTTTGGCTCTTTTTAAAATCACCCTGCTCAAAGTTCAGTCTGACAGCATTAGCCCTTGGATTGATTCTCCTACATAGATGTCTCAAAGCTAATTATGATGGATTTCCTATTATTTGTCTTTGTATACTTGCAGTTCTTCCTAGGATCGATTCCTGTGTATTCTTCTACATCAAATGTAGCTTCTCTTCTGCTTTTCTCCCAAAACAATTGTTCCAAATGCTAATGGTTGATGGTACTGAAAAATCATTCTCTCAATGGCTAAACAACATCATTTATGTCTAGATAACACAGGTCTCCCTTTATTACTGTTCCAGTAAATTTTGTGGAAACACTAAGGCCAGGTCCACACTACAGCCAGAGGTCAGCTTACAGTACACAATTCCAGCTACGTAAAAAATGTAGCTGGAGTCGTACCTTAAGCCAAGCTT